TAAATTGCTGTGGTATATTAATTCATAACAATGATATTGATTCAATAAGCCATTTTTTTTAAATAAAAGTTCAAAAATTATGACGTTAAATTCATAACTTATACTGTTATAAATGATACAAACTGCAATATCTGAGCAACAAAATCTAAAGAAACATGTTCTTCGGTTTACAGATCTATTGCATCTTGTGTGTTGTTTCTCAATACCAAGAATACTTGTCAGGAAGAGGCCGGACTAACTGTAGAAGTGAAGAGGTAAGAGCACATTAGATAAGTATTAGCTTGGCTTAGAGAAAGCTCGTGACTGTAAAAATAAAATATCTCAATAAATATTGCAGATTTCCTTGATTAGAAATTAGGGATCTCAAGGATATTGAAAGTCTATAATCCGGAACTATGCTTACACGATGGTGTTGAACGCATATTACTCATACTCGCTGAGGCCTAGCATGGCCAGGTGGCCAGGGAGCTCGACTCTCAATCTGCGGATCGCAGGTTTGAATCCCCGTCACACCAAACATGCTCGCTCTTTCAGCCGTGGAGACATTATTATGTGACGCCCAATCCCGCTATTTGCAGATAAAAAAATACTATCCCAAGAGTTTGCGGTGAGTGGTGATGACTAATTGCCTTCCCTCTAGTCTTACACTGGTAAATTAGGGACGGCTAACGCAGATAGCCCTCGTGTAGCTTTGCGCGAAATTCAAAACAAACAAACAAATTCGCTGACTGTCTCTTTCATATGAAGCAATAATAAAGTGAAATATCACTGGTTGTAACCAGTCGTATCTTTATAGTTTGTCAACCACATTTTGTTATCTGTACATATTATCGTTCTTCGTTTGACACAATGATTTTTCTAAAGAACAATAACGTTTACATTATAAAATTGCAACCATTAATTTGTATGCATGTCACGTCAGAATATTTTTGTCGTGAGTACTGCGAAAAAAAAAAAAAGACTAGGAAGGGTAAGTAAAGTTATTAAAAAAATTAAGTGGAGCATTCGAGATATAACATTTCGACAAAATAGGTATTATGCAAACAATAGTAACTTCTTCGTTAGGAATACGATTTTGTAATTTTTTTCACTATAATGAAATATTACAAACGGATTTTATATTCCCGACGAAGATAACTGCACAGAAATAAATCGATTTTTTCAAAAACTTGTATTTTTTTTTGTCAGTAGGTAATACCTCATTTAATCAAGTAGAAGCATTGACTTTAATAAGTATAGATTAATGTGTCGTAAAAGTTATTGATATATATATAACACACATGTAGTGTGTTTATTATCACTTACAAAGCTTTTTATAAAAGTTCTGGATATTCAAATGAAATAATACGCACTAACAAGTACTTCTTAGTGATTCCCAAGAGGGCCCTCCCAGTGGCACAGCGGTATGTTTGCGGACTTTCAAAGCTAGAATCCGGGTTTCGATACCCGTGATGGGCAGAACACAAATATCCCATTGTGTAGCTTTGTGCTTAATTTAAAAAATAATAATTCCTTAGAGCCCCAGAAAAGACATTATATGTCATAATATAAGAACGAAACAAATAAAAATTATTTGCTATAACTTACTTTACCTGTTATATTCTCACTCAGCAGGCCCCTCTACACAATTCTGAATCTAAATCGTAACTCGGAAGATGTGCAAAAAGAAGATTATGAGGGTTTGTCAGTTTTGTTTCGCAGGTGGGCGTGGTTGATATTTCCCTTTGAAGTTGATAGACCTATAGTTGAATTTATCCTCTTGGATTCACAGCTAGGCTTCAAGTCCTTCTAGAAAGTATACTAGAGCTCAAGATGGCGACTTCCTGTGTATTCAGCCCTAATGGAAGCTAGCGTCCTTCATAGGGTGTCCATAACTTTTACACAATGAAAATGGCAGCGGAATTCATAGACGAGGCTTAGCCAACTCATTAGGTATCAATGTACAATGAGTAAAAAAAAAAAAACCTCCTAAACGACTGACACAAATTTTATATATAAAAATCAGACCGCCCCCTCAAAGCACCGTTCATTAGTATGGCTATAAATCTTTTAGTTACACTCATGTTAACTCCAACTTGAACGTACTCTCTGTAGATAGTTATCATAAAAGTTCAGAGAGTAATGAAACTGATAATCTTGTAGACTTACAAGTCATTTGACTGCACCAGGGCGTTTACTTATTGTTTTATGAGTTATTAATTGTATGCATACAACTTTTTTATGATTTTTATTTTTGTGAGTTAGTGATGATATACGAATTTAATTTCGTTTCATGCAGTTTTGATATTTTGCGTAACGTGTTATTACATGAGAGTATTATCATTATTCGAATTTCTGATTCAGAATTTTTTTTTCACAGCCGCTTGGACAGCTTTCAGCCTATCATTTTCATCTTCATTCTTTTAATTTTCGTTGGGTTTTCACAATACACTTGTGAATATCTGAGTTACAAACAGAATTTTAACGATTTTAGAGATTCTTCTATGAATATTTGTTTTTAATATTTATCAAAATGTCAACACATACTATTAAGTTAATAGCTATCAAATTATGAGTATCAGATATCAGCCTGTGAATTTCTCTGATTTTTTCTATCTTTGACATCATGATCTAGGATTCCTAAATACTTATCAAACAAGAGACTATTTTTGTAAGAGCCTCTTTGTCTCCAATAACTACTATGCATTACATTTATTATTTTGCTGAGAGTCACCATCTTCGGAAAAGCTATCACTTTCTTTGGAACTGTTATCACTCAAAACCTCTTCATCGTCACTGGTACCATGTTTCTCAAAATTGTTTTCACAAAGAGCTTCTCTATTTGTGGAATAGTTTTCACTCTCAGTGTCATCATCATTCGATAGTTTTCCCTGTCTTTGCTTCGGTTATTCTTGTGTTTTTAACAGTTATATTTTCCAGCAAAGTACTTTGTACGTACTCGGTAATCTGGTACGATTATAAAAATGTTTTTGTTTGCTAACCACCATTGTCAAATAGAGCGGTATCAATTTTATATTTCCAGCAGAAAATATATAGCCCAGAGCAAACATTAGTGACTCATTCGTGACCTAGAGCAAATAATTATGGTCCACTCATAAATCAGAACAAAAGATTGGAGGTTCATGTTAAATTGCTACTTAGTCCTGTCTCATGTCCAGGTAATAATATCATTATCTTTATTTCGGTCTGGAAGGCAACTATACATCAGGAAATTATGTATATAGAGCAATATGTATATGGTGTGGACCCTAACGCCTTGAAGAAATATATAAACTTATAATAGAAAGAGTTTTGGAACATGTGAAAGACCGATACGAACCTTTGATGTCTCATTATGATTATTACTGCTGTAATGAAATTGTTTCTATCATTCCTTTCGACACAGAAGTTGTTTCGGAAAAGTTTAACTCTATTGAAAAAAAAAATGACTTCAAAAAATTGTAATGGAATGAAAACAACCTTAAATAAATAACTCATATGGCCTTTCACTATTTACTTTTAGACATTACCAGCCGTAAACTGAAAAAATGATATTTCTTGAAATTGTTATGAATTTCAGAAGAATGTTTTTCTTTCCTTTTAAACTATTTATTTTTTGTTAATGTTAACACTAATGCAGATAACTTAAATAAGATCAATACAGTAATTCTAAAATATGTTAAACTGAATAAGTAAAAAAATTATTTTACTTACATTTACAATTTTATGTTTGAAAACAGTAATTACTTTAACGTCGGTCTGGCATGGCCAGGTGGTTAGGGCGATTGACTTGGAATCTGAAGGTCGCGGGTTCGAATCCCCGTCACACCAAACATGCTCGCTTTTTAAGCCGTGGAGGCGTTATAATGTGATGGTCAATCCCACTATTCGTTGGTAAAAGAGTAGCCCTAGAGTTGGCGGTGGGTGGTGATGACTAACTGCTTTCCCTCTAGTCTTACACTGCTAAATTAGGGACGGCTAGCGCAGATAGCCCTCGTGTAGCTTTGCGCGAAATTCAAAAACAAACATACTTTAACGTCATCTAATTTTGTTTTTAAAATGCGTTAGTATTGTTATTTTATGTCATGAGAACATTGTTTTTCAAAAGTGAAATAAGTCCTCATTTAATTGCCACCCGATGTAGTCCTAAGCTTAAAAATGATAAAGTGCTACGTTTACGTGAGGGATTTTAACCTAATAAATTATAATATTTGTTTTATCCATTTTGTATGAATGTCTCCCAGTACTCTCAGAGGAACACTATGTAGTGTAAATAATAAAATAATCTTAGCAGCTGTAAAAACGTAATTCAGTCGTAATTCAGTTTTTGTCTTCATATTGAGCAAGCTTTCAGTTCTTCTCTTAAAACCTCCCTCAGGCTAATTGAATATGCGGCGATATTGTGTAACTGTTAAGCCGTTATTTACTTATATCATGGTCTAACGAAACTCTTGAAATGCATTGTTCAACCGACAGTTTCGTTCATTGAGAGTATATTTGGCACACCCAATCATGTTATCAACAAATTACGTGTAAATAATATATTAATTATGTGTGCGATGCTGAATGATTTGTGAAATTTCTAATAATTGAAGAGAGAATTTAAATAATATACAATTGAATGTGATATACCAGTATAATTAGAGATTGTTAAATAAACAAAATAATTTGCTTTTAGTGTGTAATAGATAATAACGTAATGTAATTTCACTCTCATAGCGCTTTATATTGTACAGGGCCATCGCAATACTCGAACAATAAATTAAGGCAATGTTTTAGGCCGTTTGGTACGCACTGTACATCATAGTCTAAGGCCGAGTGTAGCGGATGATTGTATAATTATAAATATTGTAAAAGTTCTTTTTTTCCTATGTTATTCTTAAAAGGGTGGAGTGACTCATAATCTTATTATTCTATCTAAATATAAATTAACACGTTGTCCTTTATTGTGTACTTATAATAATTTTGAATTATTGAGACGTCTGAAAAGGTAGTATTGCAAGAATCTGAAAGACCCTGTGGCAAATTATACCTGCAGGCTCTCTGTACTAGTAACGTCAATGACACATTTTACTCAATAATATTACACAGGTTTACTCACTGGCTAAAAATGGTGTTTTGAATTCATGATAACCCTGACTGGATATAGGCACTCGTTATGTCAGTTCCGAAACGCTAAGACAAAGAGCAATGAGGCCTTTGTGATAGGGGATATGCCCCGTTGGGACAGCGGAAAGTTAACGGACTTAAAATGCTAAAACCCGGGGATTTATTCCCCCACGATGGACATAGCAGATAGCTCGATTTGGATTTGTTCTAAAAATAACAAACAGATATTGTTTAGGGGGTTTAAAAACACCGTAATTAAAAGATATGAATACCACTTGGTGATTAAACTTAATATCGTGAGCAGAATTACAGTGCAAACGCTTCTTTTAAGCATTTTTAACTACAACGTTTTTCCCCATAAGAGCGAGTCTTCTTTAATCTATGTGTAATTAAGAACTTTGAATTTGTAATTGTTGTTAATCATACATAGCCTGAAGCTTATTTGCACTAATGGGCTAAAAAGTTGAATTTGTAATTACCTAAAATATAAATGTCTAAAGTAAAGCTGTTCAAGACATTAAATTTCAGCACTTTCTTATCGTTAGTACCAGCATGGAGGTCATTCTTAATTGAAAAATTGTTTTACATTCTGTTTTAATTTTATATCGTAGGTAAATTAAAGATCAAAATTTGATTCCAACTCGACTAAAAAATTTATCTTCACGTACCATAAAGTCAGTAGACTCTATATGTAGGGAGAGCTAAAGTGCTCAATAGACATAATTCAAATATTCACCCTAAAAATCAGCAATGACAAAGAGTTTTACTTTAAAAGATGAGTGCCACTCACTTGTATTTGTTTCTATACCAAACAAGGCAAGAAATAATCGCAAAGACACCAAAGCAGAAAGTGACCAACCCACCAAATTGTCCATCCTTCTTCTTTTTGTTTCAGTGAAGAACTCAACAACTACTTTATCACTAACGCCAGCTTAAACTTAAATCTACTCTATGTGTTTCTGGGCAGTACATGATGTCATCGCTTAGTCCCAATAAGTAGTAGTAATTACAAAATCATAATTCTAGTGTAAACGATGTTATCATTAACCCTTGAAGTTCGCTTTTAAAAAATCTAGTGTTCCTTTAAAAAGCTTAAGTACAGGGTGAAAAAGAAATTACCAGCCAATAATAGATGAACATTAGATGACTGTAACATGTAAAATACTCAATGCTTTGTACACTGTACAATTGGTGTCTTTACAGTGCCAATCTCTATATTATGTATAAAGTGAAGTAGTAAAATCAATCAATGCACATAATATTAAATTTATTAAAAGCATTTATAGAATACAATAACTTACCGTAAAGGGAAAAAAACGTCAAAAAACAAGTAATTAAAAGCATTTTGAAAATGTAAAATGATGTAGGGATAGCAGTGCCACAAAAAAATGCAAACAAGAATATATAGATGATACAGCTATACATAGATCATCCCTACATGACTTTTAATATTATAATTTAATGTTACACTGTAAAATACATACTTGACTTTAATATTACAGTAATTGAAAGTTATATATTCCTGACTGTTGATATGCTGTTTTTTTATCATAATATGATGGTAAAGTCAGGGTAAGCATCAATGTAGTATAACCAAGAGCCTAGGACTTGCGTACAAGGAAAACCAAGTTGAGTCAAAACATGTCTTGATTATTGCAGACTAATACAAACTCTCGCTACGAGGTCGATCAATTTGACAATCGTGCATTTTACAATGTAACATTAAATTTTAATATTGAAAGTCATGTAGGGATTATTTATGTAATGCTGTATCAACCCTATATTCTTTGTGGCACTGCCATCTACATCATTTTACATTTACAAAATGTTTTTTATTACTTGTAATATTTGTTGGTCAAGCCTTACTCTCCTCTCTCGAAAAGAAATGTCCTCTATAAGTATACGTTATTGTTCAAAAGTTTCTCAATTGCAGTAATTATTTATATTATATTGGATTTTACTATTGTTGCAATAAGAGATGGTGCATTAATACTTTTTAAATACGTTGTTTACGTGCATTCACAACTGGATTTTTAAAAGTAATTTCTAGGCTTAAATTTCCAGATATTAAGTCGAAAGAGCGTTAATGGTATTAACATATTGAATTTAACCTCACCTTTTAATGTTGCATAACTGCTTTCTGTATGATACAAGAAGCATTTTTCAAGACCAAAACAGAAAAAAAAACTATGTATTTGTTTGTTTTCGCCCATTAGAAAGTCGTAGAAAATTACAAGTGTTTACCAGCAGAAATACGACTGTTCACACGATTTCTTATATGATTCTTATGTTACTTAAGTATTAATCTCGGACTATCTGTAATACGCTATAAAAACCTTTCTACAAATGGTACCATACAATGATAATAACTCAAAATTTTCAACTTAAGCCAAATGCAGAGTTTGTGCAAAAAAATTAAATAAAACTCCGGGTATGGTCTTAAACTTGTTTATCTTCTTTTATATATCCGTCCTGACAGGAAAATATTGCAAGTATTACAGGCATGCGAGTTTAACAGTTCTAAGTGGTCTTGAAACGACTAGCTAATTGAATGGCTGTAAACTTGAAAATTCCTTCATGTTGTTTTTGTTGCTTTTGTTTGACTGTTCTCGACATTTAAACAGAAATGTTGCCGTTTAATAGACACTCTCTCTTGTATGCTTATGTGCCTGTATAATACATTACTTACGTGCTTTCTCAAAACTCAACCTATTAATTGCTATTCACAGGTCTTATAATTCTGCAGTTTTCTATTTTTCCTTAAACGTTTATTTACTCTGACAAGAAAGTAATATATTTAACTTCATTAATGCCAATGATGCTAAGGATACACTTGTTCTGTACAAAAAATTATATTTCTTAAGTATTATTGAAAAACATCAGACATGACTAAAGCATTCTATGTAGTTTATACTGCTGGCCACACTATATAATTTCTAACATAGTTTGGCAATAGTTTTATTAACAAAATTAGTGTGACAGGCTAGATACATTTTATATATGATTCCACGACAACTGCACATTAGTTTTGCCATTCCTTCACCTACTGATGTTTTACATTGTTCCTGTTAAAGGTGTGTTACCAAAAAGACTCACAAAAACGATTGAAACTGTATTTCAGTAAACCGTGAAAACTAATTATGAAAACTGTTTGCTATTATATTCAACCCTTACAATTTGTCAGTTGCGTCGCTCTTCTTACGCTGGAGCAGGTATGACCGGTTTTGTGTTGAATAAATTTGAATATTAGGTGATAATTCCAGGTGTTGCAACGACGGGTGCTGACTTCTCATGTAAAGACTGGCAACCTCGCAAGATGTAGAATAGAATCTCTTTACTGATTATAAGGTGGCTTTCTGGCTGTATACCATCCTACTGATTTCCCATCTTTTGCTTTTATCAGCTTCACCATATGGTACTCTCTTTACCAGCAGACCCTCTGAGGGTCAATAAAGACCTTCCGTGGTTGCTGTTTTTTCCTTATTAGTGCAGAGGAGGTCTATAACCTGCCAGCAATGGGCTTCTTTTGCGAATTTGTCAGTTTCCTCGTTTAGCTTTAATATTGTATAATCTGGCACATACATCCAGGGGATTAGTATACTATGCAGATGTTTGGTTTTCTTCCATCTATCTGGGAAACAACCACTCTGAATTTTACGTAGCACTATCAGTGAGTCACTCGCAAATATTATGTTGGTGACACTATCTATTTCCGGTTTATTGCTTTCAGCAATCCAGATGCGAGTTTGATTTGGCACCTTCCAGGTCAATCTGTGTGCTGCTTGTGAGGAATATAAATGTTTTTCGAATTTTGTTATAGATATGATGATATCCAAGAAACCTGGAAAAAAAGAGAATATACAAATACTAGTCGACCACACCACCTCTTTCGAAAAATAAAATCGGTACAGAATGACATTTATTTGGATAAGGTTTCTAAATGTACTCAATGAATTATTTTAGGTATGCTTTAGACCTACCAATTCGAACACAACAAACTGGCGTTTTGCCTTTGACATATAATATTACAATGTCTTTTACATAATTCTTATTATGTCCATGCCACTTTAAACATTATTCGATCGTATCTGTATTAGTAATAATTAAATACTCATAGTTTTTGTTTCAAATTTTATGGCATATATACAAGTTTTCTCAACAGTTATATATTTCAATGTTGACGCTCCCTTTAGTTGAAGTTCGCCCTCTAGGGACACAACGGTAAGTCTGTAGGGTTACGACGCTAAACACCAGATTTCGATACTCTTGGTAGGCAGTGCACAAATAGTCCATTGTATAGCTTTGCGATTAACAACAACGAAGCGAAAATAAGGTTCTGTCAAAACGAGAAAAACTATGATAAATATATTTTTACGTAAAAACTATCCGAAATGGAAAGGTTTTTATTTTGTGTATAGTATGACCTGTACATATGTCTTCCATTAGGGGTCTGGTTCAAGACATTACAACGTGAGATTTAATAATCCTAATCAAAGATCTGAGCTTCCGAAAGTTACTATAAAGATAAGCGAAAATGGAACCAAAACGTCAAGTCAAATTTTACTTCCTTCCAACTCCATGTCAAATTCACGATCGCAGAAGTCATCAGAACTCACATCTATCTCAGAAGAACATTCTAGCGACTTTCACAGGAGCGTAGATGACACGAGCTGTGAGGAATCGGCTGGTCACATACTATCAAAAAATAGTTCTGAGTTGATTCCGAATTCGCCAAAGCCAACAGAAAAAGAAAGCGAGTGCAGCAAGATCAAGAGTGGCTGTATAAATCGATCAATGTCACTTGGTGGAAAAGTGTCTTCTGTCCTTTCGCCTTCTCAAGACTCCAGTGAAGATAAGCCACTGATAATTTCTGCTTTAGGGAATAACAGTACACCATTGCGTAAGTATCGACCAAACTCCAAATTAATTACTAGATACATTTTATGTTTTACTTTTAATAGGTATATATTTTTGCAACATACTCATTATTCAATGTTTTATGTATTACTTTTAATAGGTATATATTTTGTGTAACATACTCAATAATCAACTGCAACTCAACTCGTGTTTTTATACCGTTCAAATTGTTTCTTAAATTGTCAAGAACATTTCAGATGTTAAGCCACACACACTCATCGAGTGATGTAAAAGCATCTAGCCTAAAATAAATAATGAAATACTAGTACAATACAAATGTTTACACGACTTTCAAATTTATCATTTTTGTGCGTATTTTATATATAAATTCAAAGCCCACTGTAAGTATTCTTCTGGCCTGAAGTAATCATAAAGAAAATATTGTACATATAACTTTTAATGCAGTGCTTGTGATAAAAAAAATTAAGATGAATTTACTGTCAGAGAATAAAATATAATTCAATATGTTTTATGATTGTGGATAATGTTAATTGATGCGTGAAAACAATATAGATTTAATGATTTTGTGGTTACGTCCTTTTGATTAGTACTTTGGTGAATTCGTTCTGAACTAATGGCTATGATAATTTTTATGTACGTTTTTTTTTTTTTTCTGAGAGAATGTGTTTTTGTTGTTGTTGAAAACGAACAGAAATTAGGAAATCTGTTAAAGATACATTGTGTTAATTCAAAATTTATGATATAATGAAAGAAGAACTTATGAACAAAGTTATCATAACACAGACTTAAGGAAATTATTTTATTAAGCAAATTGTTTTCAATCGAACGTGAATTGCCCTTGTTTTTAAAATATATTTTTGTTCATGTTCAACCAAACCTTTAAGCCTAACTTTCCACAAAGCTTAAGTGGAATCCTTATTAGGAGGTAAAACGTTTGTTATATTTGTGCTTATTGAAATAATGCTATTCTCTCATTCTATAAGAACCGTGCACAAAATAGGTGTTAGTGTTTTTAGATGTGGATCATACTCCACACTTTCAGGTGTGGGCGCTTTATAAAAGTGACAGTCAATAACGTTATTCGGTTCATAAGGCCAGACAAAGTTCTTGTGATAGCGGGAGCTGTTGGCTAGCTGCTCTGATTATGATCAGAACTAGGGACGACTAAGCAAGGGTCTTAGGGGTTTCTAACATTGTCATTTATCCCATGTGCACTTTTAAGGTGTCATTTTGGTTAACAATTTCGATTACGATAATTTTGTAAGATGTATTTCTGTATATACACACATTAAAAGAAACGTGGTTAGAAGTTAGTCCTTATACTTTGCACTAATTCAATGCTCTGTTTTATTCAATTTAATGCCCCCCCCCCTCTCCCAGTGACTCCACGGTAAGTCTGTGAACTTAAAAGTTAAAAAACCGGGTTCAATACCTTGGCGCTTAAAAACAAACAAACAGACAAAATTTAATATAATGACGTTTTGTATTGTGTTTTTAAAAAATTAACTTAATGACGTTTTGTATTGTGTTTACAAGAATTTAATTTAATGACGTTTTGTATTGTGTTTACAAAATTTAACTTAATGGTGTTTTGTATTATGTTTACAAGAATTTAACTTAATGACGTTTGGTATTGTGTTTACAAGAATTTAACTTAATGACGTTTGGTATTGTGTTTACAAGAATTTAACTTAATGACGTTTGGTATTGTGTTTACAAAATTTACTTGGTTTGTTATATCAAATTTGCTGTGAGAAGGATAATTTCGTAACGTTTATTCTAGTTTAGAGCCATATCGCCTTTCTATGTTTTTCTCATATGCCACCTTTATATTTCTCTGAGTTACTTACTTCTTAGTGGTTTAAATTATCTAGTAGCAAAACTTTAGTTAGTCTGAATGTATAAGTCATTTTTAAAAGATAGGATTTTACACTTAGCGTTACATCAACACGCTAGTTAACTATGTCTTAAAGTATTCTCCGCAGCGATTTATCTTTGTTCAATGGTATCCAGGGTTATTTCCATTTAGAATATTTTATCCATCCACCAAAATGTCTGTTGTATTGTGTCTCTACTTTATAGATTAATAAGTATAATTAAGTTTTTTTATAATGTATGCCATTTTTAGCAGTATTTATAAGAATGTTTAATATAGTTATAATTATTATTTGTTTTCCTTTTTTATTCTAATAGTTTCATTTGAAATATTATTTTGCATTGTTGGCTAAGTATATATATTGAGGACTAACCAAAATCTCCTAAGCTAGCCGAACGAAAGATTACTAAGATTACAGTCGAAAATATAGCTAACACCGAAGGTACCTAACTGATGAAACAAGACATTATAAGTTCTATATTTCATTAGTTATACCCATTACTCAGGCGAGTTGTAGTTTGATCTATTTATGTAGCTTGCTTTGATCAGAAGTTAATATTAAAATCCATACTTTTATGTGTGCATGTACAATCTTAGTTTCACATACTAGCTATTCATTGCAGTATCAAGTATGATGATGATTTAACATTTAGTTTTCTTACTACAGATGATGTTGACTTCCAATTTCTCTAAACGAACAATGTTTTCATGTTCTCATGGTGGCGTAAAACAAAATATCAATGAATATTTCTATTTCTCTCTGATTCGCAGACTCGACAGCTGCTTCTAGGTCATGTCAACATGAATGCAACAGAAAACGATCGAAGCGTGAAAGTACAACACTTCCTTACAGATCCTATACCTGTCCTGTTGGATTTGATAATGTTACTGATAAGAAGACACTAGCCTTCAAGAAGTTCAATGACGCTCGACAAAAAATCAGTAGATCATCTAACTATTCAACAATGCTGTGAAAGTTTTCAGATAATTTTGAACTAGTCAAATACGACCCTGAGAGAACCGACGTTTTTGATCGATTTTGACTTGATAAACTCCAGTAAAAAATGTTGTCATTTATGTTCTCGATATTTCATTAAACTTTCTCAGTGTCTTTCAGGAGTAAATCTTTGTATTAATTATAATTATTAATAGTTACACTTTCTTCTATTATTCGTATAGTATAGCGCTGTTTATATAGCCAACAGCTTAAGTCCTCCCTGTTTTCAACAAATTATTACTCAAGTTTTTATGATAAAAATAAATCATGTGAATTTAAAAGAGTGAATGGGCATAAAAATACGGTGTATGTATAGTTTGGAATATCGTATTTTTTATAGAAAAGACAAACACCATAACGGTAATAATTATGAATTGACAAAAAGGAGTAAATGTATGAAATATATGTGTTGGGTTATGAATAAACATTTAGCAAAAAACATACTGGTCTAAGTACGTGCTTGTAAAAGTTACACATAAATGAATAATATTTAACTTATTACAATAACTAAATTACTGATTTTTTTTTATAAGTGTTTGGATGTGTATTTGCTAATGATAATACAATTAAAATGAATTTTTTCAAGTCATAGGTCAGAAGTAATTTGAAAAATAAATGACAGCAATTTATTTGCAATTTCGAATATTTATTTATTTATCTATTTGTGTTTTAATCGGAAACTCATACAATGGGCTATTTGCTGGTATCGAACCACAGTTGTTAGCATTAGAAGCCCCTCAAGATTACCGTTGAGCCACCAGAGTGGTTTACTGAAAATATATTTAAGTAGTAAACCGAAAAATAGTCTGAAAATATAAAAATATCAAAGCTTTTGGAAAGCAGGAGAAAAAAAAACTGAAATGTAAACTGAAATGAAATGCAGTTTGTAAATTAATATCATTTCAATATTAAATCTTATTTCGAAAATTCCAAATATATGACATTATAAAACAAACATCCAAAGTGAATTAACGCAATACTACACAATGATCACTTTGTGCTATGTCCACCTAGAGGAATCAAACTCTGATCTTAGTACTGTAAGCCTGAAACTTTGGGTTAATAAGAAATGGCATTTCTTGAAACTATAGTTTTTAGCTGTTCATCATATATGTTTAGTTATCCCATATGTGATAATATATTTCATGTTGCGACGTTAACAAACTATGAGTGCTTAGATGTAGCCGAAAACCTATGTATGATCTGCAACACTATCACAAAAAATGATATAAATGTGTATGTACACACGAAAGTTACTTTCAAGCTACCCATGTTGATTCACATGAAATACTCTTGTATTTTAAGCTCAATAAACATTACCCTTTGATTACAACACTTACACTTTATGCAGTACACTGATTTTCTCCTTCAATCTAGAACGTAAACAAAGGCCCCCCAGTGGCACAGCGGTATGTCTGCGGACTTACAACGCTAGAAACCGGGTTTCGATACCCGTGGTGGGTAGAGCACAGATAGCCCTTGTGTAGCTTTGTGCATAGTTAAAAACAAACAAACAAACGTAAACAAAATGTAAAAAAAAATGCGCATACAAATAACAACTATCCTAATAAAAATTTGCAAGGGATTATTCATTCTCGTGCTAACAAATATTCAATGTTTTTCTAAAACAGGGATACGGAAGCAGTGGGCTTTTATGAGAACGTTCTTTACACTCACAGTCATCCGGACCCGGCATGGCCAGGTGGTTAGGGTTTTTGACGCGCAATCTGAGGGTCGCGGGTTCGAATCCCCGTCCCACCAAACATGCTCGTCCTTTCAGCCGTGGGGGTGTTATAAATTGACGGTCAATCCCACTATTCGTTGGTAAAAAAGTAGCCCAAGAGTTAGCGGTGGGTGGTGATGACTAGCTGCCTTCCCTCTAGTCTTCCATTATTAAATTATGGACGGCTTGCGCAGATAGTCCTCGCGTAGCATTGCACGAATTTTAAAACAAACCAGTCATCCGTCGTTTACTATCGTAAATAACGGGACCGTTTTAAAAGAAACATTATTTAGCTGTTTTATTATTTTTATTTTTTATGTTGACATAGATTATTTTACAAAAATAAAACATTTAAACCATTATTAGTATGTTACAATCTCCAGTTAATTATAGCTACAAAATAAACTATCTGCGCTATGTCCACCGGCTGGAATGAAAGCCCGAATTTTAGCGTTATAATTAGATAAATTTATCGCTGACCCACTCGAGGGACGATAATTTTAGAGTAACGTTTTAGTGGCTTTTGTCATTTTAGATTTTCATTGAAGGAAATGTATAAACAAAAATAATTACACATATTTTAACCATAGTATTGGGAATATGCACTATTTCAAGGCTTTAGGATGAGTGGACAAGATTGAAAGCAACGTTTTAGTTAAAGGTTATATTGATAATGTTTATTTGTTATAGTAACCAATCTGCATGTATATATTTTTTTGATCGTTAAAGAGAATGATTTCCTTCAACCGTGAGTGTTTTAAATGCTGTCACGTTCCGTTCACAGGGAACCAATAATAATCCAGACCAGAAGCAAAAATTCCTAAATAAAATGAACACCTACAGAAATAATACGAACAAAAGGTTCACGTCAATTAGACATCAAATGATACGAAAAGGGCATAAAATGAGTTAATATAGGTTGCAGAACTTACAAACACAGGTTGCAAATTTCAGGTCATTTTACATAGATCCGTTGAATGTTTTCAAATATTATCACAACACCTAGAGCTTTACCATTGATCAGAAGTACCATAAAATTCAAACTTTACCAAAGGCGGTATTGGATATACGAGGGCTTTAACTGGTTAGATAGGACCTAATAAATGAAATAAACAAGCCAAAACTACCTGAATTTTCTTGACTGAAAAAAGGTTATGCAGTGATAAGCTGAAGTGTGCCCCAAAAATATCATACAACACTAAGTTTTCTTAATAAATCATGATATTTCGTCAACAAGTAGTATACGGGCAACAGTGTGAGTAAAGTGAATAAGAAGTAACTAGGTTACAGCTTGAAGAAAAGCAAAAGATCCGATTCTCCTGGTTGCAAACCAACTTCAGATTGACAAACACTAGCCTCTCACGAAAGCTTTATTGCTTTCCTTCCTCAGATTCACTAACTGTGATGAAATTGGCAGCTGTAATAAAGACATGGCATTCTGCTAAGACGTGTTAAAAGATATAAACAGAACGCATTCCCAGGTTTTATTGGAATGTGTCTTTATATACTGTAAAAGACAACTATAACTATACTAAGTCACAACAAAGTCACATAGATCTTATGAACAACAAATTATCGTTTATTCTTGGAAATAACATCCTAATGGCCTATTTAAATGAGCATCTAATATACATTTGTGGATAATTTCCGCCTCGAAGAAAAATCAACTTTTTAATATATTGTCACTATTTTTCTGTTTATACCTGTGATATACATAGAATTATTACAAAACTTTTTTTTAGAAACATTGAATGTAAAATGTTAGGAGCAGTTGCTTTGTTTAGTAATTTATGAATATTAGTATCAATGAAAGTTCATTAAGTTTCAAGAACTTATTAATTCGAATATTATATATATATTGAGGTAACAAACTATAACTACTTACAACCGTCTAATTACAACTGATCAAAATTTGTACTACCAATATGACCACATAACTTATAAAATAACTGTTCATGATAAAGACTTATTTTGAACTGCTATTAATCATTAGCCGTGGCATAGCTCCGAGTTTTTTCAAGTACAAACTTTCAGCTCATGACCAATTTGATATCTAGTTACAGTTCAGGAGATCAAACCCTTTCGATTGATGTATTTGACCATGCCCTTGGTCTCACAGCTTGATTTACTCTAATCCTGCCTAAAAGAATTTCAATTTGACGGTAGGCTGGTAAAGATCCTGATGAGCAATAAAATGGAACGGGTATACGCGCATCCCATGCTTGGTATTGCTAACGCACAAAAATATAGCTAATGGATTGGGAAGAAAGATCTCATAGATGCATTTACTCTAATCCTACCTAAAATAATTTCAAGTGCCGCCGCTATTGAGGACTCTCTCTTGTATCGTAAAACGGTAATTTCAACTCTGTTAGTTTTTTTTATCTTTACTGTTCAAATGTCGCCACTTTCATTACGTTTTAGAGGCATCGTCACTACAGTCTTATAATAAAGCGTTTTAAACTAGCGGAACACTTCTCCAACCATTGTTTTTCAAGGTAACGTAAATACAAAAACGTCACAGTAGTTGTAGATTTTGATCTCTGTTAATACGTGTGGTCATTAAACGTATAATGCGATTATTCAGTTGCAAAACATTATTTTAAAATAACAAATCCTTATGAAAAGAAAAAAGACGAAATGGTTTTTACATAACAAGTTTTTTATGAATTTTCAGGCACATAATAAATGGTTCCAAAGTGAAATTCAACTGATCTAATTTTCTTAGACAGAGAATTGTTCACGATCTGTGGTAACAACGTAACTTTGCCCATGGTATACCCGTTGAATGTGACTACCCAAGATAAAATTCTAGCCTATTTGTGTGAATTAAGTGAAATTTGTGATTTAAGAATGCAGATAACACCTAAATTTTATCCCTTCTGAAAGCGCTGTATTACAGGATTTCTGAATATTTAGTTTTCCTTCTTCGAGATCATAAAAGCATGAAAAAGAATGGAATTTAGCGTTTCTTAAAAAGCGATATTTTAATGTTAAACCATATTGAGAAAGCAAGGGAAAGCGTTGATTCCAGTAATAATAACACAGGTTACTCCATGTGAAGGTAAACAGTTTGTCATCGTAAGTAATCCAAGGGCACAGTGATCTATTGCAGCTATAATAGTAATAACGATCCATGGAACTTTACACAAGATAATTCATACTTTTTAAGAACTACCAAAGCAACACATCACAAGAGTCGTGCTCTCAAGATTCTCCCAGAGTTGCCAAACAGTAAAAACCATTTTTAACCACTTTCAGGGATGATACTTGGCACTAAATATGGAAATATTAAATAGCTGAATGGAAGAACAACTATGAAAAGCTGTGAGCGATATCTGGTGTATGACAAAAGTAAATATGTTTGTTATGGTTCTACTGGTGATACAGCATTTTAAACAAAGGCACAGAGCATGTCCCGAATGTTTTTCAAAGGTTTTATGGTAGTTGCGGGTTACAGCTCTATGGTAAGTTAAACACCTCAAGAGTCAAGAAAAATGCCAAAACGAACTCTACATACTACCAGGTTAATATGTACATATCACAATATCATACGGAAATACCAATTCTTGTACGGTTTGTTTGTTTGTTGGGTTTCGCTCAACGTTACTCGAAGGTTATCAACATTAGCTACC